TTGAATTTATTGCTTTTACTAATAAAAACGAAAGTATATTGGTAAAAGCAGTAAAGTCTATTGGTATTTGCTGCAACTCTTATATTGTTGGACAGATGTTATATTAGCCCATCAAACTTATCGTGTTTGTTTTAAAAGGTCACTCAATTATTTTTTTTGTACATTAAGGGAATGAAGTCCGAATTTACCGTTTTAAAAGGTCCTTATTTGACCTGATACCGGGTATCCAGGTAAAATGTGGTGATGTATGCTTGATAAATAGGCTTAACACTTAAAAGGTTTGATGTAGGCCAAATTATTCTTTCAAGCATTTTGTCGAACACCTTCTATGCAATTCTTATATCTCTTTTTTTCTAACACCTTTATGCATTTCTTATTTCCCCCATTGACCATTAAACCTTTACCGCAAACCCATTAACAAGAAAAACTTAATTTTAGCAGTAATTATGTATGAACAGGAGGAGAAAAGAAGAATGATTAAAGGGAAAACTAATTATGTTCTTGACAGCCTATTCAATTGAATACATGATATCAGTTGGGCATTGAACAAAATTTTAACAAAACCGTGTTTTCATTCAATTTCAATCCCTCGAGGATAGAAATTTGTACAGAATCTCACAAAACCGGGTTTTCATCAAATCCGTTCTCGATCTTTGTTTTCTCTTCCATCGAAACCACTTACAACACGACCATGTTTTAATACCGGTCTCTCTCGCTGCTCTGATCTTCATTGCCATCCGACCACCATCGTTAGAGCCGGATCACTTGTCAATGCCGACACCCATCATCTTCCTTCAAGCAACAACCCACCAGATCGATGCCTTCAATATTCACCTCCTGCCTCTGCTCCGATATCATGCTACAGGTGGTGAGCTCCAGCAAAGAACCAAACCAAAAAACAAGTCATCTCTGGGAGCATTGACCTACAGTCGTTGATCTTTTTTTTTGTGTTCGCTCTCTGATACATTCAATTCCAAACAAAAAAAAAAGAGAAACTGGACCCATTTCATCAAATGGTTTGCGATATTATATTTGGGATGCACTATTTCTTTTAGGCTTCTCACAAACTAGCTCTTTTAGAGAGGGAAACCTGTTACAGTGGGAGGAGGTTGGAGGTGATAAGGCTACAATTGAAATTAAAACCTGTTATAGTAGGTCAAGTGACCTTTTTAACAGGTCAAACGATAGTTTATGCCCTTAATGTACAAAAAAAAGTTTGGTGACCTTTTAAAATAAACACGAAAAGTTCGATGGGCTAATATGACATTTGCCCTTATATTGTTCCAACATGTATGAGCTAAAATATAAAAATATTAACCAATGCTAAAATGTAAAAGCATCATGAAGCATCTGAGATCTAGGTTAAGCAAAGGCCAGCATCTCCCAACAATTACATTTGCTTTCCATACCTTGAAGTCAACTGAAAGCCTCACAAATTAATTAAAAAATAAAAAGGCTAAATTTAAGGAACTGTATGGGAATTGTTTCGCTATGGTACACATGGGAGATATAAGTGATTCTTTGGATTAAGCCAAAGTACATGAAATTTTGAGGAAACTCGACATGCAAAATTTGAAAAGAGTTCGTGCTTAATAAAATATGGCAAGATATTGAGCAAAGCTAATGTCATAGTTATACTATTGAGCTAAAGAAAATGATATTTGAAGCACTTTTATACCTGGTAACTTCTGTGTTTAGACTGAATAAATAAAGAAAGAAATATAAAATGTATACATGCAAATTTAAATCTTTTTGTTTGTCACCATGTACCGGTATCAAATTGCACACATGAATAGAAGCTAGAACCCAAATTAACATTGAATTCCATTATTTGCACACATATGATAGTGA